AAAATTTAAAGTAAATAGCAACGCATTTTGTCTTATAAAAGTGGTGTTTCCAAAATTAAGTGAAGCCAAAATAAAAGACGGTATTAATTTTTTATTCTCTCATCTAATACTTTTTCATCGGTTTTATTTCTTTATATAAATTTAAGGTATTTTCATAGGACCTCAAATTCGTAAAATTATGAGCGAAGTGAGCTTTTTGAACAAGCTAAGCTCTGTTGAAAAACGTGCATGGAAGTGTTTTGTAGCGATATGCAATAATTTCTTTGGAAACCACAGAAGCTACGACTATGTCACGGTTGTTAACGACTTTTTGAATGCTTACGGTGGAATGGGTTTTAACATGTCCATAAAAATGCATTTCCTTCATTTGCATTTGGACTTCTTCCCACATAATTTGGGCCAGTTCAGTGATTAACAAGGCGAACACTTTCACCAAGAAATAGTTACAATTAAAAAACGTTTCAGAGAAAAAAATAAAATAACAATAATAATAAGGCCAACAACAACCGTGCCCATTTCCCAAAAATTTATGATATTAGGGGTATTCTCCAAATATTGCAAAGCCATTGCACGTCGCACGGATTGCATGGATTGCATAACTTGCAAACACACAACGACAAAATACATGGGAAACAACATTTGCTATCGCTGCAAAATATGCAACGTCGAAACCCATGTATATATTTTGCAAAATAGCATAGCAACATAAATGCGATCCTGTGCTAATTGTATTCGTTGTTGGAATTGCTACATATTTCTCTCATTCCTCTCATCACGCTCACTTCATTTTTTTTTTGCTGTCTCTCGTTATTGTATTTGATACATAATGTCACTACTTGCTACCCATGCATGCTACCACCTTGCAATGGGGTGCTCTCGTACTCTTCAAAATTTGGAATAGTATTTTTGCATTTGGTGCAATCCGTGCATCGTACAAGACTTCGAGAATACTCCTATTATTATTTTTCGTCTAAAAATCATTGTAAATATCAATTTTGAGTGAATAAGCTGCACTACCCTGCAGGGAAAGCTACTAGTTGTGAACTAGAATTCTACCAGTTTGCGTTTCAGCCCAACTAGTTCACGTTCTATCCTTTTTCAATGTTAGCGACTGGTATTTTTAACATTGCGATGTCCTACGAAATGTCAATTGTCAGGCTATACATCAGCATCTACTAGTAGAAATAGTAGAAGCATCATACCAGTTGATGAGATAGTCTGCCAATTCATACCCCATGAAAAGCATTAGTATGCCTTTTTGCTCGCGGCGCTCCAACAGTCGCAATGGCCGACAGAGCAAAGCACTCGCGTGGTATGCCTGAGGTACCAGGTTCAAGCCCTGGCGCAGGGAAAATTTTTTTATTTTATTTTTTCTTATAATCTTTCTTTTATTTATATTTTTTATTTAGGGTTTTTTTAATCTTAAATTTAATAATAAAATATATATATATTTTTTAATCTATTTTTTTATGGCACAAGTATTTTCCCATACATTTGCTTCTTTTTTTTGTAATGCAACTAGATTTTTAAGTTTGTTATTTATATTTAAATTGAAATAATTATTCCTACTTACATTGATCTAACTTTAAAAATCTTAACTACCTCCTAGCGGCCTTGTACCTGCGTTCCCAGAACCAGAACCAGTAGTCTTCACGCGACGCCACAGCCGACATTTGTAAGAAAAGCAATTAATTGCGTTTTATTTTAGGCTTTGGCAATTCAAAGGCAGATGTCGCTGAACGCTTAAGTTCTTCGAAAATGTCGAACTGGTAGGCACATACTAGTTTATGAACTAGTATTTTTTCTAACTGGTTTGGGTTTTCACTGCAGGGTAGTTACCAAAATATCACAGGCGTGGTTATTGTCCGATTTTGCCCGCTTTCAATAAAATCCGTCCTACGCTGAAAAGAAGTACACATCCCAAGTTTCGTTAAGATATCTCAATCTTTACTTGAGTTATCGTGTGCACAGACGGACGGACGAACGGACAGACAGTCACCGCTTAATCGATTTATTTTTTTCATTTTGATCATTTATGTATTCACTCAGAAAAAAGTCAGCTAAATATATTTGTGAACAAAGTTATATTACCCTTGTGCACAAGTGCGCTTAGTAAGGATGGGTAAATTCGATATTCGAAGCTTCGATATTTGATTATTAATCGAATTTTAGCTCCAAAATGGCGAATTCTTGAAATCGAACTTTATGTTGATAAAATTCGGATAAAATCGAATTTTTCCCGAAAAAATCGAATTTCATCTTTATTTCCAAAAAATCAACTCTTCAACTTTCTTCTTTCTGACTAAATTTGCCATATCTGTGTGTGTATCCATTTGTGTTAGGGATTCAAGTAAAAATATACATGTTTTTCGCACTAATGCATCGAAACAAAAAATCTGTGCCAAGAAGGAACTGTTATTCCAAACCCAATTTTAAAAATTGTTTTGTAAAAAACTAGTTTTTTGATTTTTTATTTTAAATTTTTAGAGGCTTTTACGTGAGAAGATACCTAATAAATTTTCCGGAGAATAATTTTTTAGAATATATCAGTCCACAAACGATCTGCCAAATTTGCTTTTTGAGCGATTTCTTGAAGTAAGGGTCAAAATTAACCTTTTAGGCGGGAGCTAATAGGTTAAAATGTTCTACGAAAATATTTATTTTAACTATTTTTTCGACTTTTTTGAAAACTACTTAGGCCGAGATATGAAAACTTTAGTAAATAAAATAAAAATACGAGCTAACTTTTAGAAATCGACCGAGTGTTTTATTACTGGATGGGTATACTTCCAGAAAATGTTAACAAAGTCCGGGCTGGTTTCGGCTGTCCCACAGTGTAATTTGAGTTTAACTTTTTAAATAGGTGGCCACTCTCTTCAAGCACATCAAAAATATTTTAATTGTCGCATAGTATTTTAAGCACAACACTTCTTTAACTAAATTTGACTTATCAACTAGGTAGCAACCCCCCTAAATGTAGTTAAAAAATAAAGTTTATTTAAACCCATTTCGATTGCTACCCAAATTGGGTAATTTATTTAACTTATTAAATAATTTGAATTTAATTTTCTTACATAAGGAATAAAAATATAAACCATATTACACATCCACAGGACAAGCATTTTCATTTGACACCTACCTCCTTTTTGAAAATCGAACGAACGATACAGATTTTATGACTTAGTGTTAAATATTTAACGCAGACATCTGCGGAAGCGATTATTTCAATTTGATTTTCTAACCTGTGGCAACCCTTTTCATAGAACTGAAACTATATTGCAGACCCAAAGAAAAAGCCCTTAATTTGACACCTCATTTTTTTTTAATTGAACGAACGATACAGATTTTAGTCATAAAATGGTGTTAAATATTTAACGCAAACATCTCCGAACTCGATTAAAAAGTTTAAATTAAAAAAATATTTGGAAACTTCGGAAAAATTCTAATTAAATCGAATGTTCGAAATTCAGAAAAAATCGAATTTCAACCCCCCTCTACCCATCCCTAGTTATAAATTAATTGAAATGCTCACTCACAACAATTCAGATTTAAATTGAAGAAAAATGGGTAGTTGATAACGGCAAATAATAGCAAATATAATTTAATTTATAAATATATCTTAAGATGTTTGGCAGAAGTTAAAAACTTACCAAAAAGTTACCAGCTCAAATTCGTGAAGGTAAAACTTACCAGTTTTGTTAGAACTCAACCAAAACGGCAGCCCTGATGAGGAGGTCTTTACAAATTTATGTGCGGGCGGAAAAAAATATTTTACCGGCTCTTCGGATAAAACTCAAAACTTCGGAAAATCTCCCTTGAAGAGGCATATGACTTGCATATGTTATATTGAAGAGAAAACGAACAACAAAGCAAAACAGAATAGGGCTGTTCAGGATATTATGCAAACGGTTTTGGATTAAGCGTTTGCAAATTTTGTGCTAGCTACCACGGCAACCGTTTGCATTTTATTGTTGTAAATTTACAAATGCACCTAAATATTCAAATGCAATTATGCCCTTATATGAATTTAACATACCTTTTCCTTTCTAAGTTAGATTTAAGTATTAAAAAAAGAGAGTGCGCCTGGGCCACACTGGAGATGTAAAACTTACGTTAAGTACATATCTGTTTTGTCTCATAACCAGTATAGGTACATATGTATACATATGTACATTAAAGTGGTCCAAAAATGTATGTAAAAAAATTAGGTCGGATTTTTATTGCCGCCACCCCTAGGATTGTTATATACCGAAAAAAAATTTACCCATATTTTTTATACCCGAGCGCACTTGTGCACAAGGGTATATTAATTTTGTTCACATAACGGTTGTTTGTAACAGTCAAAACGAATCGAGATAGATATAGACAAATGTATACATAAATGATCAGAATGAAAAGAGAAATCGATTAAGCCATGTCTGACACGTCTGTCCGTCCGTCCGTGTACACGATAACTCGAGCAAAAATTGAGATATCTCAACAAAATTTGGTATGTTGGTTTCCATTTATCCAAGGTAGGTTGGTATTGAAAATGGGCGAAATCGGACTGTAACCACGCCCACTTCCCATATAACGGTAATTTTCAGAAAACCGAAAACTGCGATATTTTAGTAACTACTGGAGATTATTCACTCAAAATTGATATTTACAATAAGCTTTAAACGAAAAATAAGAATATTATAAATTTTCGGAAAATGGGCGTAGCCACGCCCACTTATGGTTACATGTGTATATCTTGGTAACCGCTGCACCAATTTCATATATAACCAGTGGTGGTAACCTGATCCACTACGATCCTTTAAGTAATGCGTGTTGAGTTTGCGTACGCAGAAATTAAAAATTTCGAACAAGACCAACTAAGAAGTTAAAATGGTGTACGTCTCCACTGAGATAGAAAAAACGTTGACCTCCTCTGTTTACAATTTAAAAAAGTAGATATATTTATATGTAAATATAATTACCTTCTTATATCTTCCATATATTTTTTCTTCGGTTTTCAGCATTTTCTCTACTTGCCATGGGTGTCGTTGGGTATCTAATTCACTTCGCAATAGCGTTAGTTATCGTGAATAAGGAAATAACCCCTACTCGCGGCATGCTTTACCCAAGGGAGTCTGAAACTCGGGAGGTTCGATTATTGGATGGACTCTGGAATTTTGTCACATCAGACGAAGCGAACCCAACGCAGGGAGTGAGAGATAAATGGTTCGGGGACGATCTGAGTAAGGTAAAGGAAGTTATCCCTATGCCAGTGCCTGCGAGCTACAACGATATCACTACCGACAACACAATTCGCGATCACGTTGGCACAGTTTGGTATGATCGCAAATTTTTCGTACCACGCTCCTGGGCGAAGGATCAGCGAGTATGGCTTCGCTTCGGAAGCGTACACTATGAAGCCTTTGTGGTGAGTAATTATGACTTTACCATGAGTAGTATAACAGTTAACCATAATTATAAAGTGGATTAATGGAGAAATGGTCGTTAAACATGAAATGGGTCATCTACCTTTTGAGGCAGAAGTCACAAACTTTGTGAAGTATGGCGAAGAGAATCGTATTACCGTGATGTGCGACAATGCCCTTATTCAAACCACAGTGCCTCAGGGGAAAATTAGCGAAGTAAAAAAGTGAGTTATAATTCATATAATAGTATACTATAAAGCAATTTGTGGATAAATTATATTTTAAATTTTCAAGGGACGGTGGAGTTGCAATAGTTCAGACTTATACATTTGACTTCTTCAACTACGCAGGAATACATCGATCCGTCCATTTGTATACCACTCCAAAAACATTTATCGAAGAGGTTGAAATCACTTCCGATTTGGCTGATAATTCAGGTGGATACATTTATATATTTACATACACATGTGTATATACATGAATATGAATGAGTTAGGATTAGGGTTACCAGACGTCCTCCTTTAGGAGGACATGTCCTACCTTTTGCCTAAAAATGAAATGTCCTCTTTTATGACTGAAATATTCAGCTTTTTTGCATTTTATTTGTAGTTTTGGCATACTACTTCTAAAGTTAAGTTTTTTATTTGTAATTTTTGGCAATGTTTTCTTTATCTTACACGCATTTCCTTCTTTTTTCCTTTTTGAATAACATATTCGGAACACCTCCTACACACTCATGTTTCGAGGCAGCAATGCAAGCAGTTTGAAATGTGGATTTGGATGTTGCGTTTTATATAATGCTTTAGGCTTTTGTAGAAAAAATTATAAACATTAAATAAAGAAGAGAAAAATAGCCAAAACTGGTGAAAATGTCACTCAACTTAATCAGCTGACCACAAGTGTATATTTACATATTTTTTATTTAAAACGTGTTAATCAAAATACTTGTTTCTCAGTCGTCCTCCTTTTGAATCTTACCTGGAGTAAATGTCTTCCTCTTTTGTTTCAATTGTCCTGCCAAGCTAATTGTTTATATGGTAACCCTAGTTAGTGTTAAGATATCAACACATTAGAGGTAATAGTCTGTGGAGACAAACTTTGGCTTTTGTCTAAAAGGGAGGTAAACTAACTAATAAAATTTTGCATAAAGGGCTCGATATAAAATTGCAGGAATCACAAATTTCGTTCTTTGTGAAATTTTAACAAATGTTGGGCCAAAAAAATTGGTTTTCATAAGCGTTCCAGAATTAGGAACCCAAACACATTAGTACAGGGAATAATTAAGGGACGCTGGATTTTTTACATAGAGTTCCCTTATCCCTACCGACCCAAGTAGAGCCAGAGGGGTCAAAGGTAGGGCTGCCAGACGTCCCGGGTTTCCCGGACATGTCCCCGTTTTAGACTATTTGTCCCGGTATCCCGGGTTTCGTTCAAGTGTCCCGGTTTTCGATTTGATAGCGTTGTAATATTAAGAAAAATTTTATGAATTTACTGGGGGAAATAACGCATAGTAAACATGAATATTTTTTATTTGATTATCGTTTTGAAATCTTCGTACTTAAAAACAATACTTTCATACCACGCACACGTGGTGTTGAATCAAACTGAACATTTGAATGGACATTTACATGTCTGGCTGTAGCTGAGTGCACGAAGATGCTTGCCACAATTTGCTAATTTCCAGAGCGTCAAAGCAAATGAATATTTCAACGCATTAATTCTGAAAACTGTAATGCTAATGAAATTTTTGTTTCATTAAATTATCCAAGCTAATGCTAATGAAAAAATTTTAATGCACTAAAATGTTTAATGCTTTTGCTCGTTTGCATTATTAAAAACCATTAAATTTTGTTTTTAGTAAAATATAAATAACCTCTTTTGGAAGGACTTGCTTTATGAAAATGAAAGCCAATGTGCATGCAACGCAAAGTGCTTTTGTAGATTTTTATGTTGATTGTTGATGCATACCGATTACATATATTAAGTATGAGCCAAAAACGCACAGATAGCCAGTTTAGCAGCGCATGTACACGACTGAGGACCTACTCTGATCTAAATCAATCAATAAACCGTTTTTTAGTTCCATTTGACAATGTGATTTTATCTATTTAACGACAAATGCCATTGAACTTGACGTGGTGAAAACCAGCCTTAACCACTATCTTTTTTGGCCTTTAAAATTCTACCCTCAACGTCAGCAAAGAATTTTTACTTCAAAATAAAATTAGTTAATGGATTTTTAATGCTTGTTATAATTTTAATGCAATATCATCAAAAAATTAACTTTTTGAGTTTTATTGTATTGTTCAGAAAATACAATCATTTATTGAGATATATTTTTTCGATTAAAAGTAAAACTAATTTTTCGGGTGTTATTTTTTGCTCTAAAATAATGATTAATGATTAATGATTTGTGAGGGGTTATCTTTTTGATAAAAAATAATGATTATTTTTGAGTTTTATATTTTTCATCACAAATAATGACTATTCTTTGGGTTTTATTTATTTAAAATAATAATAATGACTATTCTTTGAGTTTTATTATTTTGATCGAAAATAAAACTCACTTCTTGAGCGTTATTTCTTCTCTCAGAAAAAAAATTAACTTTTGAGTTTTATTTTTTTTGGGAGATCGAAAAACTCAAAACGCCTCACTTCGCCTAAACTCAACTCAGCATACCTGAACTCACCTCAACTCACCCTAACTCACCTCATCTTAACTCACCACACCTCAACTCAACTCAACTACCTCACCTCAACTCACCATAACTTCATATTAAAACACGTTCATTTCTCGATACTAGGTAATACAAAATTGAATGCCCCACTTTTCTTAGGACATCGCCGTGGGAAAAAATGCATTTTCGAATGGGAAAAGGGTTGTTTTACTTATTATTTTTTTGATTACTATACATTACATTTTCCCACTGGGAACTTATGTAAAAATACGCACAAAAAGTTTCCATACAAATTTGTGATTTCGTAATTTTTGTAAACTTTTAACTATATATCTCAAAAACTGTTCCACTTTTTAACCGACTTCCAAAAAAGAGGGAGGTTATCAGTTCTTCGGAATATTTTTTTTTTTTATGTATGTTACCGCATAGTTTTGGACCACGCCAACCGATTTCGATAATTCTTTTTGCATCAGAGGTGGTCCCATACTAATCTGGTTTTGATCCGAACAGTGGATGATGAAATATAATATATTTTTTTAAGTCGGTTTTTATTGCTAAAAATTACTTGTTTATGTTTTCACTCCAAATTCGATTTGAGCGGAAAAGTTTACATAAGAGATGACAGTCAAATGCCAGAGGTCGGATTTCTTTTCGAAAAGTGCGTTCGATTTTGAAGAATTTTCTATTGCATCAAACTTTATCAGACTGTCTCCAAAATTTCACCGCAAACCTCTCAGAGGGAACAATAGCAGTACATATTTATTTAAATAACTTTACATCTTAATGATTACACATATTGGTAATGCAATACAATATTCATTATTGCTAACGCATTAAATCTCTGCAGTGGCAAATGTATTTTACAAAGTGAAAGTGAGCGGCACAGCCTCGAACGAAGCTGACAGTTCCCTACAAATTCGAGTGCAACTGCGGAACAAGGAAGATGTCGTTGTTGCCAACGGAACATCCAATGGGGATTTGAAAGGTGTGCTAGAAGTGAAGAAAGCAAATCCCTGGTGGCCATATTTAATGCACCCAGAACCTGCCTACCTCTATCAAATGGAATTATTTTTACACACTGCCGATAACACTTTACTGGATGTTTACCGACTGAAAGTCGGCATACGCACACTTACTTGGAATAATACCTCGTTCCTCATCAATGGACGACCAGTTTACTTCAGGGGTTTTGGAAAGCACGAAGATTCTGATGTAAGTAGGCAATCCAAATTTACAAAGCATTTCCCATATTAAGATGCACATTTCTTATTTTTTTATGATGCACAAAGTATGTATGTATCTAAGCTTTCGTTATAGGGAATTACATGAATAAAAAATAAAAAACGTAATTCGAAATTCGAAGTTCGTTGAATAGTAAATAAAAATGTATTCGTTATTTGAAATTTCACGATGATGAGTGAACGTTTATTCATGTTTCAAAATTATTTGAATGATGAATAAAAATGTATTCTTCATTCGAAATTACTGGTGTCTCCAAACCAAACTTGACAAGGGATGACGGATGAATAAAAATTTATTCGTTATTTGAAACTACTTGAATGAAGAATAAAAATTTATGAATGAAGAATAAAAATGTATTATAAATGTGAATAAATTTTCGAAATTCGAAATTACTTGAATGGTTAATACAAATTTATTCGTTATTTTAAATTTCATGATCATGAATGAAAATGTATTCGTCATTCGAAATTACTTGAATGGAGAATAAAAATTTATTGTGTTCACGAAAAATATTAATAATTCGAACTTGAATAAAAAAATGATTCTTTGTTTCCATATTAGTAAGAGTTTTTTAGTACACTGCAAAAACGAAATTTAATTTTCGCATATTAAGAGTGGCAGCCAGTTTTCTCTCTTAATGTGTGAAAATTTATAAATTATGGTTGACAAATAAACACTTTTCGGTAGTAGTTTTACATGCAATTTTTAAAGTGTGGTTTACAAAGCACATAGTGTTTATTATTAGTAGAGAACATTTTCAATTTTAAACATTTTATGTACAAAAATCAAATCTTTAACACAGATTCTGGTTAATAAATAAACACTTTTCAGTAGTAGTTTTACATACCCTTTCTAGAGTGGTCTTAGCCGCAACAGATAAGGCTTCATTCAGATTTTTGACTTTGTATTTCATATACTTTCAGATTAAGATATTGACACCTTTTGCTACCATAATCTTTTGTATTTCAGCCTTACTTTTATGAAATCGCAATGTTTCTTTAATTTTCCGAATTAAAAGAAATTAAAATATTTCTTCAGTTCTGGAAAACACTCTTTTAGTAATAAAATATAATACTTGAATTCTAAGCTATTCAGACACTTTCCTACAATCATGATTTTTGCAATGAAACTTTCCTTTTAACATGAATGTCAAAAAATAACTACCCCACTAAAAATTATATAAGCAGTTGTAAGAATGATCTATAATATCTCAATCAAAGCTCGTTTTTTTAATCACCCCGTTTACACAGGCAAATTCTCGATTATTAGGTGTCAAATTTGTTTGGCTTATTATTTTCACATCTCAAGGAAAAGTTATTTCTCTTCTCTGTGCCACCGTGATCACTTTTTCTGCTATATGTATAAAGCAGTTTAAATAATATTTTATTAAAAATACCTTTTCAAACCTCTTTTCCTTGCTAATGTCCATTTTTGTTTACTTTTACATTGCGCATTTCTCCGCTTCGCAAATATTATCAATAAAACTAGGTTGGACACAGAAAACGTATCGGTTAAATCTGAAAATATTTTATAATTACAGATTAACAAGGGATGAATTTTGTATGTCTCATCTCTTTTTATAATTACAGAGAAGGGAGTTAAGCTCGAAAATGGGGATAATCTACTTATATGTAAACCTAGTATAAGCTAAGCTCGTATCTGTACTTTCTTTCGAAGCATAATACTTTTTTTGGATTCCAAAAATGGATAAGTTTTTTCCAAAATACTGCCTTTATATTTTTTTGGTGTCTAAATTTTTTAACACACAGTGTTCGCGTAAACACATGTTAAAAATGCATATATATGGGCATTTCCAGCAGTGGTGTTCGCCGTTGAAGTTCAAAATACAAGGAAAACATAAACTTTTATGAATTTTTTATTTTTTGTTTCGATAGCATTTTGCTAAGTACATACATATATCTTCGCTGCAAAAGCGCTGATATTTCGATTTTTAGTTTTCAATATGTTAGCAATAAACATGCGGTCTGGAACGTACGAGTAATGGAAGCCGCCAGGGCTGACACCTCACGAAACCGATTGCGTAGCAAAACCCAGAAAATTCGCAGAAAAAAATAAATAAAAAATCGTAGCAAAACTACAAACAGGTTTTTATTTTAAATTTATTTGATATTTAAAACAATAACATAATTACATTTCAATAATACTTGTATTTTTTATGTACTATTTTATATTTTTATCTCTTACAGGGGCGTTTTCCAAATACCGAACTAAGCACTTTTTGACGCTTACTTCATTACTTTCGTCAATAATAAGTGAAAATTTACTTTTTTTGGGAATTCCGTAATTTGATTTCTGCGAAAAAGTGCAGTAAGACGAACTATTCCATGTATATTGACCTTCCTTTAATCTTTATACTAGGATCTGTTAAGCTGATGCCAGATAAAATTTTGTGGCTTTGCGTGACATTTACATACAACTTTACCAGCAAAGCGCCAGAGGCAAAAGGTACATATGCCATAATGAACGCCAAGAAAACAATTTTGTACTGCTTTTTTAATCTTCAAAATTTCTGTGGATTTTATTATATTTAGCTTGAAAAATATCAGAAACGTAATTAAATTTTATGTTTCTGCATGAAACCTCGAATTTGAACGAAACAAAATAAATATTAAACTGGCTGATTGGCAACGCACGCAAAAAGATGAGAGTTGGCCATCTTTTCGCTTCGCGCTGCAGCTGCAACGATGCTTTGTGCATTTTCATACACTTGATCTTATCTGTCAAAGCGAAGCAAGCGTTTTATCTGGCATCAGCTTTATAGCTTGCAACAAATCTGGCACCCAATGAATCATAAAAACAGGCAACTAGTTCTACTCGCAATATATGGTCATTGCTTCTTCTATATGCAACTTTGTATCCTTCTCGCAAGTTGAATATTTCTGCCTGTTAACGAATTATGCATCTTCGTTTATGTGAAAATTTTTTCGGCTGTGCCTATTTACATATGTTGCATATGTAGTTCCTCAGACGCTGCTTGCATAATTTGCTGTAAGATAACCCATTTAGACCTTAAAGTCATTGCCTGTTTACCACATCTATAATGTTATAGCGATTTAAAAATTGTTACTGCCCATAAGTTGAATGAAATAAAAAAAGGAGTAAAAATAGGATAAAGCGTAGTGAAGTAGCAAATTTTAAAATTTTTGAAAAATCTTAGCAAATTTACTACGATCGTAGCAAAGTGCCAACGCTGGAAGTCGCCTTTGGATGCAAATTGAAAAATGCAAGAAACTGCGAAATTTAACAGAATATTCTAAAGCGATTAATTTTATATTAAATCGGAATAAAGTATGTTCCTCCTAAATAATTGCACGTTGAAATATCTCTATTAGTTTTTTGTCCAAATAAAGGAGTTTTACATTAAAATCCCATATCTGAACAATCAGTTGTATGGAGGCAATAAATAGGTTATGGTGACCCAATCTTTGTTCATTTTACTGTATAATTTCTGTTGATAATGAGTGAAAATAGTGCGAAATTTTATGTTCCCAGTTGCATAGATGGAGAGTTATAACGAAAATTCTCATATCTGACCAATCAGTTGTAAGGGAGATATATGTCATAGTGACCAGATCTTTGTTATTTTCACTGTAAGTATTCTGTTAATAATGAGTGAAAACGGTGCGAAATTTCATGTTTCTAGCTGCATATATGGAGAAGTTATAATCTCATATCTTGAATCATATCTCATATCTTAACAATCAGTTGTATGGGAGCTATATGTTATAGTGGTCCGATTCTTCCGGTTCCGACAAATGAATAATACAATATAAAAATACACCCATTTACCAAATTTCCTCCGGATATCTCGAAAACTGAGAGACTAGATTGCATACAAACAGATAGACAGACAGACGGGCATGGCTAAATCTACTCAGCTCGACGTTCTGATCATATAAGTATACGTTTTAATGGGTCTATATCTTTCTGTTCTGGTAATTACATTATAATCAGGGACGGAAAATAATCATTATTTTCTTAATTTTAACCGTAGATATTCTTTTCCATTGTGTCTTTTTTTATTTTATCCTTTTTATATACACATACGCAAATTGAGATCGAACATTATCTGCAATTTGGAGAATGAAAATTGCCTTTCTGACTTAATGTTCTTTACCGATATGATGGAACATTTGCAATACTTGAATAAAAATTCGATTGTCGCAAATTATTTTAAGTTTTGAAGCTAAACTACGTCTTTTTATTCATGATCTCAAAAAAGAATATTATGTCATTTTCCATGAAAAAATATTGCACATGATTTAAAAGCAGATTTTGAAAAAAGATTTGCCGATTTCAAATTATTTAAACGTACGTTTGCATACTTAATAAACCCTTGTTTATGTAACATAATTGAGGATGATAGCGGCCGCTGTGGTGTAGAGGTAAGCAGTGCGAGCTTACACTCCGCAGCGTCTGGGTTCAAGCCCTGGTTAAAGCAACATCGCCAAAAAATTTAGAAAAAAGGGTTTTTCTTAACAGCGGTCGCCCCTCGGCAGGCAATGGCAAACCTCCGAGTGTATTTTTGCCATGAAAAACAGCTTCTCATTGAAATACAATCGCCGTTCGGAGTCGCCGTAAAACTGTAGGTCCCTCCTCTTTGTGTAACAAGATCAAGGCGCCGCCACAAATCGAAGCAGAAGCTGGGCCAAACACTAACATACGTGTAAGCGCCAATCTATTATATTATTATTAATTCAGGATGAATTTTTGGTGTTTTTTCTAATTAAAAGAAGATAAGGCACTGGAAATGCAACATAAAGCTTTTGCTTGGATTTAAAATATCCGCTGTTGAAAACAGCTGCGTGCCTGATAATAGTTGCATTCGCTGGCCTGTTAAATATTGAAAGTTATCAAAGACTATCAGTTTTTTGCGATCGCGTACGCAAAAGACTTGCAATGTAGGGGAAATTGAGAGACCAAAGTGTCATTTCATTTTGAAGGGAAGCTGTTAGTTTCTGCTCGAAAAATTTTTCCAACAGCAATTTGCCAACACGAAAACAGAAACGGGTTGGAATTTACGCAAATCCCCAAATTGTATTTGATGATTTGGAAAATAAAATAGTAAAATGCGACTAATAAAACTTGTAGGAGGCGAGTAATAATTCATTTAGTCATTGAACTGTGTCAGGATAAGACGTCGGATTGGTTTTCTTCCGTTGTCAATTTTATACTTTTGAATGTAAACACAATTTCTTGCAAGTTTCTGCAAATTTTCTGTTAGCGTACTGTTTTGGACATATTTGTCTTGTGAGAGAACAGATGACATTTCGCCGGAATTTGCCGTTGGACATTTTTTACTGGAGATTTTTAACGAACGTACCTATTGACTAACCAACATTTAACCGAACGGTTACGAACGGCTTTAAATGACGTATTTTTGATTTTTTAGTGCACATTAGCTCTGATCCAGTACTCCATGAACTTACAGGATTTTACACGAACTTGCAGGCAGGTGCAGGAAAAATGTTCCCGTACTCCAAAATCCTCCAAAATCCTGTAAATGAGAGCGACTTTTGGAGAGTTGTGTAGAGAATGAAGTTGCAAGATTTTACCCGAACTTTTTCTTCTGGTAAAATCATGAAAAGTGTCAAGCAATCACTGGTTGACGTTTTTACAGGAAAATTGTTTTTTTTGTTCCCGTACTTTTGGTTGTTACTCACTTTTTACTCTCACTTCAGAGAGTAATTTTGCTGTTTGACAGCATAAAAATCCGGGCCCTAATTACCATCATATGAAATAAGCTCTATATAAGGCACACATTTGTTGAGGGTATGTACTAGGGATGTTGCGAATGTGAAATTTTAGACATCCGCGGATGCGAATATTAAACTGCTGCGGATGCGGATGCGAATGCGGATGTCAAGTATTTTTAAGAAACAATTAGAATCTGACATAATGGCGAGATCGTTGTTTAAACAGCGCTTACAAGCCAAAACAGATATGACAGGTTTTTCTAAAGCTTTTTAAAAAGAATTCTTCATTCTCATTCTTTTGGCTGTTTTAGAAGTTGGGGTATCGGGGTGAAGTTACAGAACTTCATCAGCGTTTTTCGATTTTAGTTTTCATAACTCATTTTTAATACTTTCTTCTGCGACTGGGTTGAAAACAGTGGGCTTAGCGAGCTAAATAGGTGGATATGGAAAATACATTATTATTTTCCAGGAATGAAAATTTTGAACGAAATTCTATTTTTAAAGTCGTGTTTTTTTATAAGCATTTTAATCTCAGAAAGTTACGTAATTCTTATCTAATTAAAGGTCAGACCTATAGCTTTTTAATTTTTTGAGCATCTATTCTCTTTATAGCCAGACGTTGATCATTTCTGCTGGAAATCCCTATTGAAGGAGGTTATCCTTTGACTTTAAATAGCAAAGAAGGGACAATTTTATATGAAGAAAATATTGCCCGACAAGTTAACAAAATTAGGTACTGTTTTTTAAATTTTTGCTAAAAATAAATTCCCCAAAGAGCCCCATTTGAAATTATTGAATCGAATATATGTATGTAAAATCAAAAGTAAATCACGAAAATTTGCTTAAGAATTACATTGTACTCATATTAAAGAAAGAAACCAATGAAGGTATTTAAAGAATAGAAAAAAATAGTATTAAAGTACTATGTCTTCTTCGACGTACATCAAAGGCCAAGTAGAAGTGGGAACTTGTATGACTGCCCATTGATAGCTCGGTTATATAGCTTAAGAAATAATATGTTTAAAGGCATCTTTATCAAAGTTGATAAATATGACATTTGACCAGTTTTGCTACACAAATACTCCCCCGACCACAGGCAAAAATATTGGCTACAATTTGCCATATTGTTTGCCATATATACGTTTTATCGGTGCACTTGCACAACATTCGCATTCACAAAAGCTCCGCATTGATTATTGCGAATGCGAAAGCGAATGCGGATGTTAAAATTAATACGGAAGCTCCTCGGTTGCGAATGCGAATGCGAATATTCGCAACATCCCTGGTATGTACACACAGTGCTCTTGAAACAGCGGAGGGGGTTATTAAAATGGATGGAAGAAATCCCAATATAAAATTATCCCATATGATCTCCAGATTCCAAATCTTCAAATTCCGAAATCATCAAGATATATGTATATATATTAGACTGCATAACTCCCCATCCAAAAAAAAAATCGGAACTGTTTTTCCATTTTAATTATAAAATCTATTATATTTTAAGACATCCACCATTTCCATTTCGGAAAAATGTTAAGATTTAAGCGAGCTGGACCGATTTGAAAATACCTCCAAAGAGTTTTTTATGAATAAAAATAGTTTCTTAAAGATGGTTTTTGAAAAAAAACCACTCAAAAATTTACATAAAATATTAAAAAAAAAATAAAATAAAATAAAAATTTAATGGAATCGTAATAATGAGATTTTTGATGCTGTTTTTTAACATTTTTCAAAGATTGGTAAAAGAAAAACTTGAATAACTGAACCTAACCTCTTCCGATTTAGACATGTGAGTATCATTGGAAAGGTATTTTCTTACCCTTTTTGTTTCTTTGCTAATAAGCTCATTCAAATGATTAAAGAGAAAGGTAGGATCAAAGAACAACATTCAAAGTTGAATTACGATGTGTTGGTATTTGAAAAAAAAAAATAAATAAAATTGGGACACGAATGACTTTTTTTTGCACATAAATACCTTTCCACCGAGATTCCATAAGTCTAAATCAGTTTAATATTATTTAAGTTTTTCGTAAATCAATCTTTGAAAAAAGTAAAAACACAGCATCACAAATCCCATTATTACGATTCCGTTGTAAAGGTTTTTTAAAAATTTGTATGCATATTTTTTAAGCCCAATCTGTTTTGTCATCTGAAGGGACTTTTTTCAAAAAGTTCTTTAAGAAACAATTTTCATTCATAGAAAACTCCATTTTTGTAGGAATTTTCAAATCGGTCGAGCTCACTTAAATCTTAATATTTTTCCGAAATATTTTGGTGGACGTCTTAAAATATAATAAATTTGGAAATCCCGGCGGAAAAACCGCAACTTTTTGTGGTAATGCAGTCTAATGTGCATACATACATACATATGTGTTTATGTGTATATGTATGTACAATGCGAACCTTTAGGTGCATACATACGAACCAATTTTAACCCAGGACTAACGACGTCGACGTAGTGTTAACTTAGCTCCTTTGATCTTTTTTTTGTGTTTTAAATTTCTGTTTTATTTATTATTTTTACATAATTTTTATATATATATTTTTTTTTGTTAAATTTTAAAATTTCAAGTTATATATATATAGGTTATAAAAAAATAAAAAACAGAAAATCAAAATACAAAA